TACCCCCCGCCGGTGGCGCCACAATGCCGTCAGCCAGTGCCTTCAGCACCCTCGGATGGAGCTCATCCGGGCCTACCGACTTAAACGCATCCAGTTCCTCCAAATGACTCTGCACCATCTCAGGGTCTACGCATGGAAGTCTGGGACCCTGCTGCTGCCTCTCCACAATCCCAGTGAGAGACTTGTCTTGCCCCTTGCTTAGGAACAGTGAGGCAAAGAACTCATTGAGGAGTTCAGCCTTGTCCCCCCTGTCCATCACCAATTGCTTCTTCCCATTCAATAGAGGTCCTATTCCACCCTGGGCCTTCCTTTTACTCCCTATATAGCTGAAAAATAATTTCTTGTTGTTGACCAGCACCTAAATCCAGTGATTGAGGGTTTTGGTGCTGCCATTGCACATGCTCCCCTTCACCCTTGGGTCGCACATGCCCACCAGCATGAACCGTAGTGGACCACAAGGGATCCAGCCATTTTCTGATGCCCTCCTTCAACCACCTCACCAGTGCCTGCACATCTGGTGACAGTGGTTTGTCCCAACCAGGAATATTGATACCCTGGAACTTCTCCATTTCATTCTCAAGTTCCTTCACTACAGGGATCGCCTGGCTAAGAAGGGCATCGCCAGTGCTGAGGGTCTTGGTGGCCTCAAGGAAGGGCTTGAGGACCACCAAGATCTGGAAAATGTTATCCCACTCAGTTCTCTTAAGGGGACCGCTGATCCCAGTTTCCCCGAACAAGGCCATCTCATGGATGGTCTTCTGTTGCTCCACCAGCCTTTCCAGCATCAGGCATATGGAGTTCCACTGAGTCTCCAGATCCTACATGATTTTGTGCTGTGGGATGCTTGGATCTGCCTGTTTCTCCCACAGCATCTTGCTGCCCTTGAAGCTGCAGTGGAAGTAGCCCACCACATTCCTGCATTTTGAAGTCAGCTGGGTGGTAGTTATGGCACCATCAATGACAGCCCTGTTCCCCTTCAAGGTGTCCCTGACTATGAGGTGCAGCTTGTGTGCCACACAGTGGATGCCAACAAAGTTGGCATCATGGACAGCCTTGACCATGAACCCACATGTGAGCTTGCTCTGCTCAACCAGTCACCCTTGCACCATGCGGTTCATAGTCACTGTGATCTCCCTTGCTGTGTGGGACTCATCCATCACCTTGGCTTGAAGGAGAGCCCACCGATGGCCTGACTGATTGCACCAGTGCCCTGTGAAGTGCAAGGCTACCTGCAGCCCTACCTTGGATAGCTCCTCCCTCAAGTACTCCCTGAATGCCTCATATAGGGAGAGCACCATTGTCCTGCTAAAGGTGTTGTGTGCAGACACTTGGTAGGATGGGGCCATGAGCCACCTGATCCCTGACCACTCAACTAAGGAGAAGGGCTTGCTATCCAGAGCAAGCACCTCCCCAATGCTATGGGTGATCTTGCTCATCCTTGCAATGCATACCCCTTTGTCTGTGGCTTTCCCCCACTGCTCCAGGGTAGCCTGGGCCTGCTTTGGGGGGATGGAGGCTTTGAAGCAAGCAGAGAACTACCCTTTGGGTATGCTCCCACTGCTGCCGGGTTGAGGAGGAAGAAAGGCAAGGGGGTGCTGCCTCCTGAGATGCAGCAACATCACCATAGTAGTGAAGTGTTTCACCTTCTTGCCCTGGCTAATCTGCCTTCATCAGTGCTGACATTTAGCATACTTGGTATCATCTGCCACTTCAAAATCATCCCACACTACATTACTCCCTGGCTTCTGGGTTGAGGGTGTGGATCTTGCCTTATCCCCCTCCTCAGCAGGCAGAGGCACTGTCGCAGGGCTCAAGTGCCTATATACTAATGCTACCTGTCGCAGGGCTCAAGTGCCTATATACTAATGCTAGGAGCATGGGAAACAAGCAGGATGAACTAGCGCTCCTGCTTGCACAAAACACCTATGACTTAGTAGGGCTAACGGAAACCTGGTCAGATTCATCCTACGACTGGGCGGTACATATTGAGGGTTATAGATTGTACAGAAACCACAGGGTGGGAAAAAAGGGGGAGGGGTTGCGCTCTATGTCAATGAGCAATATACATCGACCCTCATCAAGACGGAATCCAAGGATGAGGAAGTAGAAGGATTGTGGGTTAGGCTACATGGGGGACAAGGAGAAAGGAATTTGGTGGTACGGGTCTGCTACAGGCCCCCACATCAAGGGGAAGAAATATATGCGGGGCTCTTGAGGCAGCTCTCAGAGACCATAAAAGCTAAAGAGGCGGTAGTCATGGGGGACCTAAACTACCCAGACATCTGCTGGGAGTCACAGATGGCAAAGTCCCACCACTCACGCAGGTTTCTAACCTGTGTACAGGACCTCCACCTGACACAGGAGGTACACGGTCCCACTGGGGGGAATGCCATACTGGATCTGGTATTGGCAATGGGGGATGACATGGTAGGGGACCTACAGATCGGTAGCCATCTGGGGGACAGTGATCACCTAATAATAGAATTCACCATAAGACGTCGAGTGGGTAAGGTAACTAGTAGGGTGAAAGTGCTAGACTTTAGGAAAGCTGATCTCAATGAACTCAGGCAAATAGTCAAGGACGCACTGCAGAATAGGAGTTTTGAAGTGATGGGAGCCCAAGAAGGGTGGCTGTGCCTTAAGGAAACGAT